AGGGTGGTGGATTCTTTCTGGTCTGGAAGCTCAGGCACCAGGATGGTGAGCGTCTTGACCAGAGGAAGGGATTGTTGGCTCCACTGCCACACGGTGTCCAGCTCTGCTGAATTTTTAAAAACCCTTTGCCTCGTGGGCCATGTCAGAGTGTGCTGTTCCTGTCATATTGATAGTTCTGCTCTCCTGAGTAAACCCTAAGCTCCATTTCCCAGAAACATGCTCTTTGCTCTGCTCTTGTTCAGGCCCACGTAAGTACAGGAAGGAGGCCCTTGAGGGTGGGAATGCTGGGTCTGAAAATACATCTTGAGACAAAACTGAGGGAAGACTGAGTCATGGGAGCAAAGCCCAGGCTGCTTTCCTCTCTTCCTTCCCCTAGCAGCTCTTTGGTGGGGCTGACTTCTTTTCCAGAGAACCTTCCCCAGAGTCTTCATGGGCTAGAAAAGAACCCACAGAGGTCAAGAGGTCCAGGCCACAGTTAGATGCTGTGCTTTTGTTCCCCATGTGCGGCCAAGTGAGGAAGAAAGCTGGGGAACCATCTTAGAATCAAAGACTGTAGCAACTGACAGACACTTAGGATCCATTGTATTTGGCTCCTTCATATTAAAAGTGAGGCTTGTCTCCTCCAAGGTCTACAGGGAAGGTAGACCTAGAAGCAGTTCTCTAGGCTTGCAGCCTGATGCTTTAATTTGTCACTCAAATATCATCCAAAGGAGCAACTGGGACTTTCTCTCTCACTTGAGAGTGGCCAGACCTGCCTGCCAGAGGGAGTCTAGGGCAAGTCCTGTGAGCTGGGTTTGCTGCTGGAAGGCAGCAGCTGCTCCTCTCTCGGTAGCCTAGGCCAGAGAGCTGGCTCCATCCTTTGTTCCCTTAGCCTCTGGGCTCTAGGCAAGACTTCTGGTAGCGACTTGGGAAGTATTCTTTCCAGGCCCTTGTGACATTAGAGCTAGAGCAAGTAAAGGGGGCCAGGGAATAGGGAAATTCATCCTCTCAGCTGGAGTGGAAAGCCCTTGATGATTTGGTGCCTCCCTTTGAAGAGAAGGTTGGATTCTGCTGCTGAGGAATGACTGGTTGCTCAGAAGCAGGGGATGAGGAGGGTGACATTGCTAGGAAGTGCTCTGGGAGAGTTCCAAACCCACTTTTGGCTTCTCTGCTGTTCCAACATCCAGAATAGGTACTCTAGGGGCGCCTGGCTGGTTCAGTCAGTAGAACCCAAAACTCTTTGAGTTTCAAGAGTTCATGAGTTCCAGCCCCACGTTGGGACACACACTGGGCCTACGGCTTAGTTAAAAAAAAGAAAAGTAGGTACCCTAACTACAAGAAGATAAGGATTCTGGGGCTACAGACTAGGGAAAATGAGAGCCAGCTTGATGGTCAGAAAGAGGGTGGAAGTGATGTCTCTCCTCGCACAGCCTCTCCTTGTCCTTTCAGGATGGGGCCCAGCCCTTCACCCACACAGCTCAGAAGAAGCTCGTGGAAAGGAGGGTGTCGGCTTTCACCCTGGGTATTGAAGTTGTCCTCTGATCCCACAGCAGAAGGAAAACTGAGTCGAAGCAAGGCAGACAGGCATTTAATGTTCCCTTCCATGCCCTGTGCTCTGTGTCAGCCCAGAAACAGGCAGAAGCCTCTGGGAGACTGGTCAGGTGGAACCTGGAGCCTCTCCCTTCTGTCAGCCACTTGAGCCTCCCATGTGTCCCTGACTTGGCTCCAAGTTTACTGAGGTGAGAGTTCTGTTCTTTATCCAGAGCCAGAAGCTAGAGCTGTGGAAGCTGAAAGGCTTAACTGTTTATCATTATTCTTTTTCTCATGCCCAGAATGCTACCCAGCCAGTCAGTCATAGGCTGACAGATATACTCATGGGGCTCCAGAGGCCCACGCATGTTGGGGATGCTGATGGGTTGGTCTGCGGGTGTTGAATACTTTCTTAGGAGGTACGAAATTGGGACTTGGCCAGAAGCATGGCCCTGAGTGTGGGTGAGTGTGGAAAGCCTTGCATTTCCATGCTGAGTGCTGTTGGAGGACTTGGCAGGGCTCCCAGGGGCATTCTGACGAGCGTTCTGAGCCCTCGTCTCGCTGTCGGTGGGCTGGGTGGAGGACCACTTTCCTGTGTTCGGCCCGCCTGCCTTCCTGCTGCTAGTTCCTCAGTGTGTGAGGGTTAGGCGGGATGCCGTCGGCACAGCCTGCTTCTCACGTCAGGATGGCTCAAGTCATGTTGGCTTGGGGGTCCCACCTGGCCCAGCTGCTCACAGCTCTTCGGAGATGAGGAGAGCTAGGGCCTGCCGTAGCGGGTGGGGCTGGCCCTCAGACAAATGAGTTCATCAGCATTCTGCACACAGCTGCGTGTACCCTGTAATTGGTGAGGCAGGCATCTGGGGGAGCAGAAGGCTCAGATCAGTCTGGCTCACTTTGTCGCTAACTGGCTGGCCGCTCGGTGAGCAGCAAGGGGTCGATGCCTGGTGTGAGCCTCTGCCGCTCTGGGAATGGATGTGCTTACGCCGCCAGGAAAGGGCTGGTGAGAGGCCCATCGAAGACCTCCCTGGACAAGGGATCGAGTCTGCAGATTGACTGGGTGTGGATGTGAAGCGGGGGTGCCTCTGCTCCATCCGTGTTCCTGGCTTGTGAGTCCACCTTCGCCATTGTTTATGCTGCCCTCTTCAGAGAGTTGCCTCTCTTCTGTCTTGGCTGGACCAAGGGCAGGGGCAGAACCCGTGTGCGAGTTCTGTTTGGCTCTCCTGCACTGCCCGCCCTGTCTTCGGGCTGGCCCACCAAGCAGCCGGACTGAGCTGCGCTGTGTTTCCCAGTGATTGCCCTTTTTCTTCTTTCTCACCAGAAGAGCTGGTAGGGCCCCACAGGTATTCTCATGACCCAGCCTGCTCACCTTCTAGGTTTTGCTCTGTCCATCAGTGGCCCCATTATGCCTGTGTCTTTCCATCTCTTCTAAGTGAGTGACGGATTACGGTGAGTGTCTGTGGTTTAGATTGTTGGCCCCTCACAGCGGCTTCTTGTGTTCAAGGGGCAGCAGCAAGCCACGAGGCTTTCGTGAGCTGTGAGCCGAAGCCCGCAGTCTCGCTGTACGTTAGCCTCAGTACCGGAGCCCTGGGCTCTGGGTGTATGGGGGAGCGCTGTCTGCCCCTCTGTGCCCCCTCACTGCTCTCAGCAAGGTACTCATGGGTTTCCCAGGCTGCATGTCCCGAGGCCCTGAGTGCACTCCTCTTGAAGATCATTATCTCCCCAGGAGGCACTGGGAGCAGCCCCGTTGGTGACGAGGACCCTGTTTGGTGGCTGTCTGGGAATGTGGTCTGTCATTTTCTACCAGTTCAGTTTAGTGAAAGTTGAGATTTGCCTTCCAAAAAGCTATATCTGCAACTAGCCCCACCCCTTCCTCAGGACTCCAGAAGAGTGTTCTCCTTGGTGCCCCCCTCTGTCCCCTGTATACAAGTGGTGAAGGGCACTGGGGAAGAATTGGAGGTCAGGGAAGCTGAACTGGCATATCTGGGTGGCTCAGTCAGTTGAGTGTCTGCCTTCAGCTCAGGTCATGATCCCAGGGTCCTGGGATCGAGTCTGACATCAGGTTCCTCTCTCTTCCTCTGCTGCTCCCCCTGCTTGTGCTCAGTCTCTCTCTCTCTTCCTGTCAAAAAAATGTATACAATCTTAAAAAAAAAAAAAGGAAGCTGAATTGGGGGTAGCAGTAGTCAGTGTTAAGTGTGACTGCTGAAGGGGTGTGAAGCTGCCCTGAATGCGGGCTCTGGGATACTCCTGAATTCCCCAGGGAGTGAGTTCAGGCATCTCCCAAGGTGAAGGGTACCTTTGGGTGGAACAGGCAGACCTCATTCGGCAGGAAGGAGGGTGATGGTGTCGTTGACGTCCCAGCCAAACCTTCTACAGCAGGCTCAACAAAGGTCCTAGCCACCCATCCTTTGGGAATATCAGAGCCTATGGCACAGTGTCCCCAGAAGATGGGGACACAGAGTAGTACTGTGTCTGCCCTTCTCCAGCAGAGGGGCTCGAGGGCCTCTCTATTCCTGGCGCCAGGCACGGGGGCTCATCCAGCTGTGTATGGTCTAATGGGAACGAACAATCAACTTGCAATCACTGGAATCATTGCTTAGCTCTGGGGGCTAAGAGAAGTCTGAGTAAGTGTCCTTTACCCTGAGAACCTAAGGATTCAGACAGGTCAATGTCCGTACAAGCTGTCCAGATTGAGGCCCTTGCTGTGTGGCTGCTTGGTGTGTGGCTGAGATAAGGCAGTCACAGGGGCATGTAGCAGAGCAGGCTTTGTGCAGTGTCTCCCTGAGGACACAAGGTACCAAAATGAGGCTGTGTAGAGCACCGCCAGGTCCCCTGTGTGGCTCCAAGAGATCACAAAGACTAGAAAGGTCACCTGGTCCCGCCTGTCCCTCAAGAGCCCCCTACCCTCTCAGCAGATAAAGAAATGTAGTTGCCTTGAATTATTTTCTTTTCTCCCCATGGCTGAGAGGCAGAGGCTGATGAGGGGAATGCGGTAGTCATCCATCCCCTCTTGGTCAGTCGGATGGAGGGTGGTCCTCTCTTTCAAGACTAGGAAGTTGCCTGCTAAGTGGCCTGATATGTGACATCCTGGGTTGGGAGCTTAAGTCTGGCCTAGGGTATGGTGGAAAGTTTGGGTCATTCTCTTTAAATCCCCCTGAGTTACAGTAATCCTGGGGTAGGTGGGACATCTTGATGGGGGCCACCTTCCTGAGCCAGGCTTTGAATCCAGAGCACTTAGAAGCTGGCTGCTTGGGGAGAGGAGCATTTCCTTCTCCTGTTTGTCGTGTGGACTCCTTACTCAGAACAGCCTCTGCTTGGTGGCCTAGGCCAATGTTGGGTGGGAGGGAGAGACTTGGGAGGAGCCGGGCAGGGCTTTTCTCCGGGGGGAGAGTGCAGGAGTGCTGGACGGTTCTCAGTGCCATGGTGGTGGCCTCATCAGGATGGGGAGAGCAGTGTTGAGTGCGCTCCCTCTAATGTTTGTCCTTGGCCTCTAGCCCTGGCCCAGTGTGTCCAATCTGGCCAAGGACTTCATTGACCGCCTGCTGACAGTGGACCCCGGCGCCCGCATGACCGCACTGCAGGCCCTGAGGCACCCGTGGGTGGTGAGCATGGCAGCCTCTTCGTCCATGAAGAATCTGCACCGCTCCATCTCCCAGAACCTCCTCAAACGTGCTTCCTCACGCTGCCAGAGCACCAAATCGGCCCAGTCCACGCGTTCCAGCCGCTCTACACGTTCCAACAAGTCGCGCCGAGTGCGGGAGCGGGAACTGCGGGAGCTCAACCTGCGCTACCAGCAGCAGTACAACGGCTGAGCCACCCGGCTGCGGTGCAGGTGTGCCACGGCCCCAGCCCCTTCCGTGTCCCTTCAGCAGCCCCCATCCTCATCCTGGGCCTGAGCCTGGTGTGACAGTGGAGGGAGCCTAAGGGGCTGTGAGCCCTGCGGATGAGGAGCCTGGCCTGGCACCAGTGCTCTTTTTGGTGGGCAACTGCTCTGCTGGAGGTTGGGGAGGTGGCTGGACCCGGCCTTCCCTTGGCCCTTCCCCAAGACCAAAACGTGTGAAGTGCCAGGCAGAGGGTATCCTGAGGTCCCAGGACTCTTTGGGACAGTTACTTCTGAAATCCTCTTCACTGAACCTTTTCTAGCCCCCCACGTTCCATTGCATCCTGATCTGTGCACCAGTGAGGGGCCTAGGGAGGCACAAAGCTTGTGCCTTAGCTGGACTCTCAGCCCCTGAAGTCCAGACAGTCTCCCACCTCCCACCCAAGGTCTGCCTTCCTTCGTGGTGCCTCCAGGGACCCCTCCTGGCCCCAGGACTGGCTAGAAACTCTGGTGGTGGGGCCATGGCAGGGTCCTTGGGTCTTCTGGACTATGTGGCCATGTTGGTAGCAGGCTTCTCCAGGCTCCAGCCTCTCTGCCAATGAGAGACCTCCTGCCCACCAGCCCACTGCTCTCAGTGCCTTCTTTGCAGAGCCCACTCTACACTTCTCTCCCCCTTGGATGCCCTTTCTATTCCCTAGGTGCCTCCTTCCCAACTGTGGGGGATTAAAGGGAGCCCCACTGCTGCTACCTGGGGAATGGGGGCACCAGGGCCAAGGCAGATACCAGGGGCTTCCCAGGGACGGCCCCATTAAGATTCTAGTGTCAGCCTGGTTCCACCCTTGGTACTGCCCATTGCCCCCCTTCCCTTCAGGCTCTGCTGTTCCCGCCTCACAGCTGCGTGAAGGCGCCATCTAGTGTCTGACATGAGTATGGGCAGCCTAGGACTGACCCTGTGCTTAGCCTTCCATCCTTTAGAGAAAGTGGGAAGGAGCTGCTGTATTGAGGAGAGGTCCCAGGCTGCTCAGCCCTCCCCTTCTGCTGAGCTGCTGCGCAGCTCCAGTTGGAACTTAGCCAAACTGTGTGACCTATCTCTGAACCCTGAGTGTCTGGGGCCCTGGCCTTCTCACAGCTGGCCTTGGCTGGTCCAGCCTGTTCCTCCTTCCTTTCACAGCATTACCCTTCCAGCTTGGGCCCTGCCGAATCTCAGGCTGGAGGGAGCCCCTGCAGGAGGTGGGTGGAATTGGGTGGCTGTTTTCCCAGAGGCGTGAGCCAGGCCATCCCCATGTCACTCATGGTGCCTCTCATAGTGCCTCCTCTGCACCACCCCACCCCAAACCAGTCTGGAACCCAAGGCCCCTTCCTCCACAGCTGTGTTCAGTGGGTAGGAAGGAGCTGGGGTCCAGCTTTAGCCTTAGCTAGACTGCAGGGCTTCTGCCAACAGGGAGGGATTGGCCCTCACTGTTTCTCCCAGTGGGTAGCCTTGGGCCAGGCCCTCCTCTTTCTGCATGTGCCACCTCCAGTCAGAAAGAAAACCAAAGAGACCATTCTGGGCCAAGCAAATTGTGCCTTATACATCTTCTCTTGTACCCAGTGCTCATGGCACAAGGCAGCAGAGAGCCAAGGTTCTGTGGCCTCAGAATTTCCCCCATTTTCCCAAGTGTCTCGGGGGCCTGAAGCCCTAGGGATTTATTTCCTCTCTTGTCCAAGGTAGGCCTGGTCCTAAGGGTAAGATAGAGGGCATTGGGAGACTTGGGCCTTTGATAGGCCCACCTGGGCCTTTATGCCATGGACCGTGGCTGGAGAATGTGCCGTTATTTATTTTGTGTACTCCGGTTGTAAATGTATCCTCTGTACTCAATAAACAGGCTGCCCTCCCCCGGGAAGGCTGCCCATCCATTCTGACAGTCCAGGCTCCTTGCTGTGGACCAGGGGTTACCTAGGAGGAAAGATGGTGGGCGTGGCCTGGGCATGGCTGCTCTAGGACGATCCGACTCAACGCCTGCCATGCCAGAAGTCAAAGTCCCAGGTGGGGAGAGGGACTCCCGAAAGCCCCTCCTTTCCCTTGAAAGGACAGGAATGCACAAGAGGACAGAGCACAGGGTCTTTATTGGATTGAGATGGGGAGAGGACCTGTGGCCGGCTCAGTTGGAGGCTACGACCTGGTCGATCCAGTTGCTGAACTTACTAACCCGAGTGTATATGGCAGGCTGGAGCACATTGCAGTTGCTGGTGCCCCAGGAGACGACGCCAACAAGCACCCATGTGTTCCCCTTCTGGCAGACCAGAGGGCCTCCGGAGTCTCCCTGAGGAGGGAGAGGAGAGCCGTCAGCATGGGGGTCAGGGGGTGCCCCAGGGCAGTGCAGAGGGCGGGCCAGGGTGCCGATGCTCACCTGGCACGAGGAGGCCCCTGCGCCGCCTGCGCAGATCATGGAGTCAGTGATGCTTGAGCCCCAGTACTGCCGGCATTGATTCACGGTGACCAGGGGCAGGGCCACCTGCTGCAGGCGTGCTGGGGTCGTATTGCCTGGGGGCCAGAGGAGATGGTGAGGCCCTGGATGACTGCTTCCCACCCTGGCCCTGTCACCCAGATCTTTGGCCCAAGTTCCTACCCACGCCGCTGAGACGTCCCCAGCCAGTGGTGGCACACTTGAGGCCCGCAGGCAGTGCCTCATTGGAGGAGGCCACGCAGACTGGTGAGATGCGTTTTGTGTACTGGGCTGGGGAGGCGAGCTTCAGTAGAGTCAGGTCATTGTTGAGGGTGTTGGGGTTCCAGGAAGGGTGCGTGATGGCCTGTGGAACCAGGAAGGAGCCAGGGAGGATGGTCATGGGCATAGGCCCCCCATGGTTGATGATTGCTGAGGAGGCTAGCCTAGGGCCTGCCCTGAATTCCTCATCCCCAGAGCCCCCCATCTACCCCAGCCACACTTTCTTTCCATGTCTTTAGCCTAAATACTCACCTTTGAGATGGACAGAACCTGCAAAGGCTCCGCACTGGATGATCGGTCGTACTCACCCAGGACAACAACGTGGCGGCCAGGGCTGCAGTGAGAAGGGGGTTGGGCAGCCGCAGGGAGGGCAGAGTGACAAGAGAGGGGCATGCAGGGGAAGGAGGTGGGGAGAGGTGGGCTCCGGGGCAGGTAGAGTGGGAGTACTCACCTGACATTGCAGTGGGCAGCAGTGACCACCCAGGACTGGCTGATGAGGGAACCTCCGCAGAAGTGGAAGCCACTTCTGTCCTGGGGTCAGGGGTCAGAAGTCGGGGTGGGCTCAGGCTGCATCTAGGCATGAAGAACCTGGTACCCTGCCCCACCCCCGGGATCCATGTACCTGCAGGGACACCTGCCAGGGCCAGGAGCCTGGCACTGCGTTCTCCCCGTTGACAATCCTCTGGCTGGAGCTCAGTAGTGGCTTGATGGCAGGAACTCCGCAGCCTGGCCATAGGGCTGGTGAGGACCTGCTTCCCACACCCCCATACCCCCACCCAGCTATCCCCACCTCCTCCTGGGTGCCCCCAGGCTCTGGCCCTCAGAGGTCCAAATCAAGAGGGCTCATCATTACCCCTTCTCACCCTGAGCACCTCTAGGTATCTTGGTCACCTATGTCCTTACCTCTGTCCAATTCACCTCCAGGTTCTGTCCGTTCTCTAACCTCTCTCCACCCTTACTTCCCATCATTCCCCAGATTCACTCTCACCCTCCAACTCAGGGCATTTTTCTCCCTGACCCCTGGGATAGTCTCCTCCCTGGCTTTGCAACCTGCTCCAGGACTCAACAGCCAGAGGCTTCTCCCTAAACTACATGTCCAACCTTCACTTCCACCTAATTCCCTTCCAGCCAGCCCAGTCCCTTCCCCGAGCCCCTGGGCAGGAAGCCTGGGGCTGGTTTTGGAAGCTTGGTTGCTTTAGGGCTGGTCATCAGGGCTAGTCCAGGCCCACTCACCCCAGGAGGAGCCGAGGAGGACCAGGCTAAGGGTCAGACTGAGCAGCAGCATTGTGGCAGGCGTGAGGTTGAAAGCTGGGCCTACTTTTATGGTTCTCCTCGTCCTTGGGCAAAAGTCCCAGGCCTGAGGCCAAGCCAGCTGTGTGGGCTCAGCCCCCTCCCATGCTCTGGTCAGGAGGAGGCTCTAGGTCAAGGTCTTGGATTCAGGCCTGGACTTTATCAGACAGAGACCAGGTGTGAGGCTCTCACGTCCACCCCCCAAAGCCTGGTCTCTGACTGGTTCCCTGAACCACCTCACATCCCAAGCACTGAATGTTAAGTAGCAAGGACTTGTGGTTAAGTTAGGTCTGTGTGGACTACATGGTGGCTGGGATCAGCAAAGTTTCTTAGGGCTGCGAGGGCACCAGACTCAAGAGAAGTCTGCTCAGCACCCAGGGGTGTTCCTGATGGGTGGAGGGAATGTCCAGCTGTGCCAGCTGTGCTGTGGAGGGCCAGGGCCATGCGGCCAGGACAGGGGTTCTGGCAGGTCACAAATCTAATAGCATCTCAGTGATTTCTCACCAACTTGGAACAGGAGTCAGTTTGTCCAAAGAGATGGTGACTCTTCTACCAGCACATAGTACTTTTGGACCCAAACCTTCACCTGGCTCCAAAGCCCACACTCTTATTGAGGAGACGACACCTGGTAGGGGCCTGGCACACAGGAGGGTAAGGAGTGAGCACTTGGTGACTGGCTGACCCTGGATGGGGGTTATGGGTCCCAGGGTGACAGCCTCCAGGCCTTGGGGTTCCTGTGGGCAAGTTCTTGGGTGTCCACAGCCCAGCTGTTGTAGAGTTCCAGGCTAAGCCTGCACTGAGGAAGAGAAGACAGCCCCGTGTGCAAAGCTGCAGTAGGTAAGTTGGCTGGGCTCCTAGAGGTGTGGGGGGCAGCAACTGACTCTACACTTCAGTCAAAAAAATAAGATGCGCAAAAAAAAAAAAAAAAAGCGCTAATGGTTGAACAGAGAAATGGAGGGAGGGAAGTGTGATCAAACAAATATAACAATAATAATTGTAAAGTCGATTGTGGGTATATAGGTGTTCAGTGCAATTCAGCTGCTATGTTTAAAAATCTTCATAATAAAATATTGGGGAGGGGGGAGCACAATCAGGGGCCCAGGGATGTCCAGCTCAGAGTAGACCCTCCCCAACGGTTGGGCAGACTCTAACAGTTCCGAAGCTCCAGTGGAGTCAACTGTTCTCTCTGAGGGCATGATCTCCGGCCAGCACATGGCCCTTGGGCTGGCCCTCAGGGGGCACTCAGCAAAGGTTTGCTGGATAAATGTGTCATGTCATCTCTCTCTGCATAAGCCCTATGATCCATCAGCCTAGCAAACTCGGGAGACCCCCGCCCCCCGCCGCCCCTTTCACAAATCAGCACGTCCAAATAGAAGCCCTTAGGGTGGGCCTGGTCATGGGAGCGGTTGCACAGGTAAAGGTGTTGCAGGGGTGAGGAGTGTTCGATAAGAACTTGCCCTTGGAGTCAGGGAGCAGCTCCTCTATCAGCCTTAAGGGCTAACTCAGTGGAGTCCATGCAGTCTCCTTGACTGAGAGGTGTGGGCTTTGCTGTGAGACCCTGATGAGCCAGGGAAAGGGGGCAGTGTGGGGGGCCTTCTGGGTTTTACAACAGTCCTCAGTAGACTAGAGGGCAAGAGCAAGGCACCGGAGTGGTAGGGGGACCTCTATAGTTTGGAGAGTCAGGAAGGGGCCTTCCACCTTGAGCTGCAGTGCTTGCCAGGGTTGGAGTTCTGGAGGAATAGATGCCTATGGCTATGGGTAAAGGGCACCTGTAAGGCCAGGCCCTGGAACAATGCAGAGAGTGGTCCCTGCAGGTGTACATGAGCCACAGTGTCCGGATGGCTGCTTGTCCCCCCTCCACCCAGCAACAACACAGCCATCCGTTTAGGTGTTTTTGTATTTCTTGGGTTTATTTCTCTTCGTTCCAAGCCCTAAGCATCATCTCACTTCATTCTACCTCCATGGCCTGCACGGTTTCCTCAAGCAGTTCCAGGGTCAGTGGCTTCACTGTCCTGGACAGGACAGCTGTGGTCCCAGGGGCAAAGCGGTACTGGCTGGGCCTGCGAGAGGGAAGGGATGGGCTCTCAACTTGGGCCCATCATGTGGCCTGTCCTCTTCTTGCAGCCCCCTATGTCCCCTGCTACTGCCCCTCCTCCCTAGTGGTCCCCCATCTCGCATGCTCCCACCTCTCTATGGGCTTTGTGGGTGAGCTTAATGTTCTCAGAAGCTTGGCGCCGGTCTCCGTTATCACACATGCATCCACACTGCCTCCAGAGCCCAGGTCACCCAGGATCCCTGCAGTGATGGCTTCCACTAGCAGTTCCTGGGCGGCCTCCAGCTGTGATGATAATGTGTGCATGAGGCCTGATGGACTCTTTCAGGCTACAGCCAAGAGGTTTTGTTCATCTCGAAGCCAGAGTATTTAGCATTTGCTCATATCCAGACTCCTCTGTTTCCCTATGTTCCCATCCACCCCAAGCTCCCTTGCCCTCGTCTCTGCCTCCCTTTCTCCAGAGACGCTGTGTTCCCAGTGCACCACTTCACAAACTTCTCTTGAGTCACTTACACTTGTGGTTCTGCTTCCAGTGCTGTCTACCCAACCAATGTGGTCTTGGTCCCCAATCTACCAGCTCATTGCTTTTTCGGTTCTGGGCCTTAGGCACCTCTGAAGCAACACATGGCATCCACTTTCATCCCAACCCAAACAAAATCCAGACTCCAGACCCCACTTGCCATTCCCTCCTCCCTCAGCTTCAAAGGGTCCTGAGCTTTGACTTCAAGCGGCCCAAACTTTGGCACTGATGGTCGTCTGTTGGAATAGCACTTCCGTCTGACTCCACTGTCCTCTCAGTCTCCACTCAGTCGTCACCTCCTCCAAGAAGCCTTCCCTGACCTCTAGACTAGGCCAGGATACCTCTGTGTTACCGTCGCTCCCACGTGCCCTTCCCATCAGTGAACGCATAGTGGGGGACAGGTGTTGCTCACCTTCATGTTCGCCTGGAACCGATCCTCCAGTACCGCCAGAGCAGCATCCTGGCCGGAACCTGCAAGTAGGAGGGGCATCGGAGGTCAGTCGTGGCCAGCCAACGCGTCGCGGGATGAACAGGAGGCTAGGGTCGCAGGGCTGGGATTCGTGGGGAGGGGGAGGAAGAGCTCACCCAGGGCTGCGAAGGGCAGACGGCTGTAAGAGCCGTGGGGGTGCACGCTGTAGAGCTGCGGTCCGGTGAAGTCTACTCCGCCCACTATCAGCGACGCGCCCACGTGGCCCCGGTACCTTTTCAAGGGGTGGGCGTGGTCAGCTCCAAGCACTTGGGCTTCTGGTCCCGCCCCTCCGTGACGCCGCCCCGGGACCCGAGCCCCGCCGGTTCCTGCCCTCTAGCGCCCGGGTCCTAACAGAGCCCCTTCCGGTTGCCGGGCTCCTCTTAGGTCAGCCTTTTCCGGTCTCCGGGGCTCTCGCAACCCCGCCCTTCGTCCTGTACCAACTCCTCTCTGTCCCACCCTTCCTACCACGGCCACTCCTTAGCGTCATCATCTTAGCACCGCCCCCCCCAAGCACCGGAAGAGCGTCTGGCGCAGAACGCGCGTGACTGTGGCCAGGCGAGGCTCGCGGCCCGTGGACAGGGCGTGTAGCTCCATGTTGGACGCCGCCAGCCGCGTTGTCATTTCGGCGTCCGCGGCTACTCCAGCCCCACAGCAGCTGAGAAGGAAGGGAGGATCGGTGTGGGCGGGGCTAGGACCTGTGGGGACCCGGGATGGGAACGAGGGGGCGGTTCTTTGGGGGAATGGGTTGGGGATTTCTCACTAGATTTTGGGGGCGATGAAGTGGATCTTCTCGCAGTTCTTGTCCATCACAACCGAATCGCTAGTGGCCCGCGTGTCCGCGCCCAGGATGACCCCGTCCTGGGGAGGGAGAGGGTCTGCTGGCTCAGTGCCTGTCCGATCCCCCAGGAGACCCTTCTGATCCCCCCAGTCCCACGCCCCTGCTCACTTGGAACACAAGGCCCGCGATGGTGGTTCCGGTCTTGTGTGGATGAGGGATCCGGAGGCCCGGGAGGACTCGTTCTAAGGATGCATTTCTGGAAACGGAGTGGAGTGGCCCAGGTTGAGGTGCCTCTTCATCACATCCTCCAACTCTGTCCTAGACTCCCTCATCTCTAGGGGTGGGAGCCTGGAAACCCAATTCGCCCAACACACTCTGCCGCCTCTCCACCCCCACCCGAATAAAGGCCTTAGGGCTTCCACTCCCAGAAGTCCCTCCTCTCGCCCCAGCCACCACCCCCATCACCTCTGGCAGTTCTCGAATGAGAAGCCCCTTAGGGGCTCTAACTCTGGCTTCAGCATCTCGAGGTGGGCAGGGTGGTCTGGGGGTTGGAGGGCTATGGGCGACAAGCGCAAAAGGCCAAAGCCAGGTTCTCTGTCAGTCACCCTCCTAGCCGGTCTGACCTTCTTGCTTTCGCTTTCACCTTTTCCTCAGAGCCTGGCTGGTGCCTTCCTCATCTTCTCTTTCACTTTCACCTTCACCACTGCTCCTGGGCAGTTTGGCAAAGGGGAGAGGTCCTTGCCTGGCTTTCCATCCTGCTTCCTAGTCCTCTGAACGGAGGGACAAATGCCTCTGGCCCTTGTTCAGCAGCTCCTCACCCTTCCACCCGGAGCCCCTAGCTTTGCCTGCCCCATATCCTAACTCTAACCTGAAGTCCTTCAGCACTAAGGGTGTCATACTGGCCAGGTTTCTCTTATTGGCCTCCCAGCAGCATCAAGCATGGCCGCCTTTTGTCCTTTGGCATCCTCTTTCTCTCAGCTCTTTTGTTGCCTTTGCCTCCTTCCTGAAACCTGGAACCTGAAACACCAAAGCTCAGTCCTCCACCATGTTGACACTGATTCTTCCAGCTTCCCTATCTCAGGTGCTGTCTTCCTTCTCACAAGAGGGGTCCTGTGGGGCCATCCATCTAGTGGCCTGGAGGCATGCCGGGCTCTGCCCATGGACAAGCCTTATTTGACCTCCCAAATGACCCTTCATCTGTCCACATTTTTCTCCTAACTACCACTTTAGTCTCAGCTAGCATCCTCTCTCCCCTGGACACTGCACGGCCCTCTCTGGCTTCCCCAAGCTTCCTGCCCTTCAGCCCCCACCCCAGGCTACCCTTTACCTTGCAGAGAAGGGACTCTTCCTGGATTGCAAATCTGGTTACAATTTTACTCTGGTTAACCCTTCAGCAAGTGCATATTGCTCCTAGGCTTAAAGCCAAGTCTTTATAGTGGCCCACATTACCCTTCTCATCCTATATGATCTCAGAATAGGCACCAGCTCCTCTAGGAAGCCTTCCCTAACCCACAAGACTCAGGCCCTTGGTGCTCCCTAAACTGTTCTCGCAGACCACTTAGCTCCATTAATTAAACCTTCATTAGAGAAATGATCTGATTAGTCACAGTTTCTCCCCCAGATTCTAAACTTATATACTTCTGTTACCCACTTAGCATTCAAAAGGCCCTGTCTAGGGAGGCACCTGGGTGGCTCAGTCGGTTGAGTGTCTGACTCATGATTTTGGTTCAGGTCATGATTTCATGGTTTGTGGGGTCGAACCCTGCAGGGGGCTCCATGCTCAGCAGGGAGTCTGAGATTCTCTCCCGCTCCTTTGCCTCTCTCTCTCTAATAAACAAATCTTTTTCTTTTTAAGAGTTTATTTTATTTGACAGAGAGAGATCACAAGTAGGCAGAAAGGCAGGCAGAGAGAGAGGAGGGAGCAGGCTCCCTGCTGAGCAGAGAGTCCGATTCGGGACTTGATACCAGGACCCTGAGATCATGACCTGAGCCGAAGGCAGAGGCTTAACCCACTGAGCCACCCTGGCGCCCCTCTCATAAACAAATCTTAAAAAAAAAA